CGGAATGATTTTGAGAGTATAATAACTAAAACCTTAATATATGAAATAAAAAGTAATACCTTTTAAACTTGTATTTAATGTTTACAAATCCAATTAGATCCACTTTATTTGGTAAACAAAGCAAGTCTACTATATAATATATCTACTAAAAGAGAGAAAATATGACTACAAACTATACTGTAAATAAATCATGTGAATATTTTCAATTAGTCAATAATATTACTGAAATTAATTTTAAAAACTGAATAAATATAAATTTACACACATTTACACAAGTCAACAAACAGAATTAACAATAGGCTGAAAATCTGTGGAATTCTATGCGAGCATATTCCATGTAGGCCTACTTATAACCAAAATACATATGAAAGACACTTGTTAGATTTCACCAGAACGAAAAATGTACTCTTCATACTTTTATATGGATATAGTAGTGGTTGTTTAAACAATGTATCTGTGCACTTGCCTCCATAATCTTTTATCAAATATGATAAACTTCCCTCCCCTCGAAACATCTTTTCTTCACGTCCTGGTCACTTCCATGATTTTTTGGTCATCACCTCATATTCAGTTTCTCATCAAATCTTCTGACTAATCAAATGCTCTCTAGTATCTTACGTGCGCGACTCCTTCTTCTCACTTGGCTTTTAATTTAATGTGATTAATCTCCATTTAATGTGACTGATTGACCTCTCTCACTGTTAGAGCTGTGATATAAACAAATGCTATTAGCTATTATTATAAACTAGGAGGTGGAGCTACAATATGTCCCGCCCCGTCTTCATGTTTCAGTTGAGATTAAGGCAAATTTCGAATCTAAAAATGCACATTTCAGTGCACTTCACAGACCTTTCATTTGATTATTTTTCTCTAGCTCAACCTGACAATGATTGGGAAATGAGTAGCAGGTCCATTTTTTTTCTTGCATCTATTATAACAAGCATCACATACTTGTTTCATTTGTCATTATTCTTGCTACCCGGCGAAAACAAAGTCAGCTCTTGGATGGAACTTTTAATGTTTGTCTGAGATGAAAATACTCGGGAATCCAGAGAGCCCATTCAGGAGACTAATGCAGGGGTAAGCCCGACAGGCTGACAGAAGAACACAATCTTTCCTCTCTGATATCTGCTACATAATACATCACACAGACACGCACAATCTTCTCGGCACACTTTAAAACTTTGAATATTGTTGTGCTCGCTGGCAAAATTACGAATTTATGATTTTGCAGTTACTGTAGCTGGCTCCTTCTGAAAGAGCTACACTGGAAATGTATTTTTGTATCGGGTTTCTGGTCCACACTTCTGAAAAGTCTTAAATCAAGAAGCAGTTTTAGACCAGAAATGGACTTTGTTTTGTTTTCAGAAATAATATGTCAAAATGAATGAGTTTTTCTTTAAAACAAGCTAAATAATCTGTCAATGGGGTAGCAAAATAATGTTTTCTTTGTAATAGGATTAATGTTTTAAGGCAGGGGTGTCAAACTCAATTCCTGGAGGGCCGAAGCCCTGCACAGTTTAGTTCCAACCCTGCTCCAACACATTTACCTGTAGGTTTCAAACAAGCCTAAAGGACTCAATTAGTTTGATCAGGTGTGTTTAATTAGGGTTGGAACTAAACTGTGCAGAGCTGCGACCCTTTTGGAACTGAGTTTGACACCTGTGTTTTAAGGAAAAACTTAATTTTAACATTATTTCTAAAAACAAGCTTTTTTTTTCTTGATTTAAGAATTTTTGGACATTTCCAGTAAAATCTATATAAAAACAGTGTAATAATGTATGTATCATAAAAAAAAATTTAAAAAAAACATAAAAAAATGTAAGAATTTCCATAAACAAAATACTTCACAATACCACACAGGAAATGGAAAGATGTCAGTTTTGAATGTAATATTATAGCAAGAATACTAACACTGCGTCTTAAATCGCGTACTTATACTACACCCTAAAAGTATGCACTTTTTTGTGAAGGAAAAATATATACGTTTGAGTGTGTTTCAGAAGAGTATGCAAACTTTGGGACATACTACTTCCTCGTCAATCATCCACATTTCTGTCGCATTTCATTTCCTACCTTATTGGAGACGCAGCAGCAGGATAATCTCTCATTCACGAGTCTTTCATGCGGAGAAATCTCCTCAGGTGTTTGGATAATTACGCATTCAGACGTTTTTGTTCAAACATATCTTGATATAAGTTCACTATTTTGTTGCAAATGAAATATAGCACGTAAAATGCGATTTAAATTGCATTTTACAGTTGGCTAGATGTTAATTCAATCAGTCATACAAACATCTTTACCGAACTACTACTTGACGGCTGGTCTCTTGCATCCACATTTGTAGTTTATTTACACTTTTTACCAGCGTTTGTAGTTCTAATCAAACTCAGGTCCAACATGCAATGTGTTGTGGGCGATATCAGCGGTTAGAGTATGGATGAATCTAATGTATATTCACAAATATAATATTGTAAAGCTTCTTATTAAAAGTATGAAATTAAAAGAGAGATTTCTAAAGGGTGTACTCATATATGCTGAGCGCTGTATGTATGGATGTTATTTTTCATAATTTTTTTTTACATTTGGTTGATTTATGAATGACTTTGTTAATATTACTTGGGCAATACTATTTGAATTGATTTATATTTTAAGTACAATAAATAAATAAAACAAACTAAAAAAAGAAATATGTACTTGGATCATGCTGACCCAAACCATAACCCTAAATCCACAAAAGCACTTGCGTAGTGCTCCTCTTTTATCAGTGTAGCGCAGGGGTGTCAAACTCAATTCCTGGAGGGCCGCAGCCCTGCACAGTTTAGTTTCAACCCTGCTCCAACACACTTACCTGTAGGTTTCAAACAAGCCTGAAGGACTCAATTAGTTTGATCAGGTGTGTTTAATTAGGGTTGGAACTAAACTGTGCAGAGCTGCGGCCCTTTTGGAACCGAGTTTGACACCTGTGGTGTAGCGTAATTATTAGGGATGAGTCCGAAATACAGAAATACAAAGACTTCAAAATGAATAGTAATTGATAAGTAACATATTAATAATGATAATTATAATGAGGGAGACATGGTGGCTCAGTGGTTAGCACAGCAAGAAGGTCGCTGGTTTAAGTCCCGACTGGGACAGTTGGCATTTCTGTGTGGAGGTTGCATGTTCTCCCCGTGTTGACCTGGGTTTCCTCTGGGTGCTCTGGTTTCCCCCATGCGCTATAGGTGAATTAAATAAACGAAATTGGCTGTAGTGTGTGTGTGTGTGTGTGTGTGTGTGTGTGTGTGTGTACGTGTTTTTGTGACATATCAGGACACAAATCTGTATAATGACATAGGTATGACACAGGTATTACAAAAAGGAGGTGAAATATGAGGACATTGCTGACGTCCTCACTTCTCAAAATGCTTATAAATCCTACAGGATGAGTTTAATCAGAGAGTAAAGCTGCACACAGTCTCCTGTGATGGTTGGGTTTAGGGGTGGGGTGGGGTGAGGGCAATATAATCTACGGTTTGGACTGTATAAAATGAATGGAAACCTATGTAATGTCCCCACTTTTCACAAAAACAAACGTGTGTGTGTGTGTGTGTGTGTGTGTGTGTGTATGTGTGTGTGTGTGTGTGTGTGTGTGTGTGTGTGTGTGTGTGTGTGTGTGTGCGTGTGCGTGTGTGTGCGTGTGCGTGTGTGTGTGTGTGTGTGTGAATGTGAGAGTGTATGGGTGTTTCCTAGTACTGGGCATCTGCTGCTGCAACTATCTACTGGAATAGTTGGCGGTTCATTCCACTGTGGTGACCCCTGATAAGTAAGTGACTAAGCCAAAAGAAAATGAGTGAATGAATAGCAAGGGATGCAGCTTGTTTTGTGCTTGCTGTATAACAGGTCAGGACATTTTTCTAACTTGATTGTAACATTAACATGCATCAGCCGAGTGCATGAAGTGAGCGAGAGTAAACTATAGGAATGAAAATTAGAGCAGCACGATCAAAGCCGCATTGCAGTTTCTGATGTGCAACAGCAAGCCTGCGAATTTGTCATGGCAACCGGCTATATTTCACACTGATTTTTCTACAAGGGCTACACTGTAAAAGTAGCTAGAAGCAAAGAGATGTGTAACCAGAAGCCTCATTCGTTAAGGTGTACATATTCGGCTTGGTCAGCGTCAGCTCTCTCTCACAAGCACACACACACCTGTGTGCGGCAGCTGTTGTACATTACAGCGGCTGTCATTTGATATGTTCAAACAGGCCAATTATTAACTACACTCAAACATTTGTTAAGATGAGTGGAACCAGCATCATTCTTTATAAAACAGCTAATTGTTTTATGTTCATTCATTCATTTTCTTTTCAGTTCCTTTAGTAATCAGGGGTCGCCACAGCGAAATGAACTATATAAGTCTAGTTTAAAACTAGACATTGAGGTGCACCCTATTTCACCAAGCCCCACTCAATTCAACATTTCTGGCCCTGCCCCTGTCTCTGAACATTATTCAATTCTCATTACGTCTCACGCATGTGAGAGGCGTTGACAAACCACCTGTAAAAAACACCCTCTTTCATCTTTCTGTCATTTCAACCAACATTTGCACCAGTTTTGCACAAGACACTCTCTTAAAATCACTCAACATCTCAAAAAACTTGCATTTATGAAGTGTGCCTCACACAGGTGAGTGGATTTGACAAACCACCTGTAGAAACACTCTTCTTTCTGTCTCCCTCCTTATTCTAGCACGTAATACTCTAAGCACAAACAGTCCCTTTGCATAATCATTTGTGTGTATTGCCTCTTCTTATTGAATGTCGCCTCAATTGATATTCGCTTTAGACAAAAGCAACTGCCAAATGACTAAATGTTACCAAGTGTTATTATCTTACTGCACTGGCAGATCATTTGCCTTGTTTCTAGGCTGCATTTTCATAAATCAGTCATTTATTTATCATGTTTTAGATGGTTATTTTGTGCAGTGCAAGAACTCAAAGACACTTAAAGGCACTCACCAAACACAGTTCTGGCAGGGACAGATTCCCTGTTTAACCAGAAGGACACCTGGGACAGGATCACAGTCATGATGCATGGTAAATACGTCTGGATGACGAAGTAACCGATCTTCCTTTTGAGGTGAAAATGTGTTGTCATGACAACATACTCTCCTGAAAGTGAAGAGAAAAAGATCGAAGTGAGGACGTTTAGAAATATGGCTTATATACACTAATAGTGTGCATATTAAGACCGTAGTTTTAACATGATAATTGACCATGGTAAATTATTGAACAATTAACTCTAAATTAATGCACTGACTCGCATTTAGATTACATAATGGCACTGCAAAAGACTTACTTAAAGTTTTTGTCATGTTGATGTTTTATAACTCTTTGAAACTGCCCTTTTCAGACTTTAATTCTAATTGTGCTGTTTTGGTGACTGTCGCTTTAAATTCAAAGATTACGCTCTTTTCAAAAGAGGGCGGAGCTACAAATGCCAGTGTGTCAGCATAGTGGCAGATTCAAAAACTAGACTTATGCTAATGAGGGAGGGTTAATGTCACTAATGGGCGGGGCTTTCCCTCTCTGATGACACGTACAAAGAGAGAATGTCAATCTGCAGTGTTTCTGCAGTCTGCTTATATCAAGTGTGATTATTAAAGAGATTTTTACTATTAAAAGCTCGTTATATTTATAGACTGTTGCCAAACAACTGTGTTTAAACCCCTTATAAAAGTGATTTTTTGCATAATAGGTCCCCTTTAAATCAAGAAGTATAATCTGGACAGGCAAAAAAACTATTGTCTTCTTTTCAGAAATAATGTCACATTTAGGAGATTTTTTCATTAAAACAAGCAAAATAATCCAGTGTAAAAAACAAGAACTTTGAACTAACAATATCTAAATATCTTCATATTAGTTTACAAAGGATTAATACAGTTAAAAAAATACACCTCTTAAAATATATTCTATATTAAGAAAAACCCCTTACTATCCCAAACACTGTCATCCAGTAAACAAGGTTATCCACTTTGGACCCTTTTTGTTACAGCACCTGTATTGATTGTTCAATAAAGGAACAGAACAGAATAATAATGGGTATATCCACATGGGAAATTATAAAAACTGGGGCATGCTACTTTGGCTAAACTTGCTAAAATATAACCAGAGTAAGGACGAGTAATCCCTCATTGTTTCCTTTTTAAAGATTTGGGTTGTAAATAGTACTCCAATAATATTTATTGAATGAATTATTTATTAATAAAATCTAAAACAAAAAGAGAGACTAATTTAAGATGTATTAACGCATTAGTTTAGAAGAAATTTAAATATTTTAATATAATGTTTAAATTATAATCTAAATTATTTAAAAATATATGAAATTTATATATTTATAAATAGTATATATATATATAAATAGTATATATATATATATATATATATATATATATATATATATATATATATATATATATATAAGATTGAACATCCGCCTTTGGAGTGATTGTTGTCAGTTTGACCACATCCCTCCTACTATTAGTGTGCTACAAAGAAGTGATTGAAAGAAAAGAAAAGAAAGCCCCGCTTCCTACTCAATATTGCATTTTAGTTGGAAGTACATCGACACACTGAAATAAACGTCTTAGCAATTTCAAGTTCCCACAGATTTTAAATTGAATATATAGTTGTTTCAAATTAAGTTTTGCTCATGCTGTGGTTAAAACAATGCTGTATTAGTTTATACAGTATCATACTGAAAGAACCAAATAATTGTGGTACAAATGTGCACTGTTAGAGCTCATTCACACGTCTTTGCTTCAAACAACAAGAGGCAACACTGCATGCTTTGAAGTATAAAGCTTCTAGGGTATTTCAGCCTGATCTTATGAGGAAACGTAGGTATTTTACGTTTTGTCAGTTAGGCTATTAGTATGAGGACAATTTTTAAAAAATTGGTTACGCTTCTTTAAAAAGACGGTTACTATCAAGTTGCTAAATGGGACTGCAGACAGTGTCAGAGACATTATGCGTCATCTGAACTGGTCTGGAACGCACCTCGCTTGTGTTGGGCATTTGAATTTGTCTGTTACTTAAGTATTTTCATGAAGAGTATTTTACAGTTTGAAATATTTTTCTAATTGGGAATTCATAGTGTGTGTAGACAATTCCTTCACTTGTAAAGACCGTCGAGACAGATTCATTTGTTGATCATTTATTTTAATTAAATGATATTATGAAGATACTGCTTACCAGTGCAGCCTGTCTCTTTCCTGCTCTCAGTAATGCAAACGTGTGAATAATTGTGTAAAAATACAGACATATTAATTGTCATTTAGCGTGATCAATTGATTTTTCGTCGTTTTTTCTTCATCTGAACACATTTAACTGTCATAACTGCAATATTTACACTCCTCCATAAAATGTATAGCAGATGTGACTGTATGGGCTGCTTTTCGCTTTACTTCGTGACATAAAAAGGATATTGAACGTTTTTCTCTATCCATGATGGAACTTGAAGACATTTGATAGACTTGCTCCTCACACCTCAATTCTGTCGTATGTTAAGGTAAGCGGGCTGTGTGCACGCGAGCGATACACTTATTTAAATATGTTTTATGATAATACTATATAGGCACATTTATACACACAGTTTTAAAACTTTTACAACAACCGTAAAGCAAAATAAAGCGTATTTCCCTCATAAAAACAATCCAAAAAGGCACGTAGGTCTATGTGTTTTTTTGCGCATTTATTTGTTTATAATATACAGCGTGGATTATAATACAATCAACCAAGAGAGTAAATCGTTGTCATGGACTATATTTCTAAAGATATGCTTGAAAAGTCGTCTGCAGCAGGGTGGTGCTGACGTCACAAGCGAACGCCCCAAGGACACTGTAGTCCGTTTATAGCCTAATGTCAGCTTTTTAGTTCTTGCGTTTGCATTTGATATCCAAAAGTGCTCAAAGTTGTATTTTCGTGTGAGGATTATCCGGCTGGACAAAACGCAGAAGTGTAATGAACAGTGTTTGAACACAGAGCTTATTATTTGTAATCTTCGAAAAGCCTATGGGGAAATCCTATAAGGGATTTTATCGAGGGAACCAGTTTTATGCTAGCAGCCGATTAGCCTACAATGTGGTAGTTCCTCCACTCTATAAGGCAGGGGTCACCAATCTGGGTCCTGGAGGGCCTGGTGTCCCTGCAGGGTTTCGCTCCAACTTGCCTCAACACACCTGCCTGGATGTTTCAAGTACACCTAGTAAGACCTTGATTAGCTTGTTCAGGTGTGTTTGATTAGGGTTGGAGCTAAAATCTCCAGGACACCGACCCTCCAGGAACAAGTTTGGTGACCCCTGCTATAAGGCCTTGCATCCTTAATAAGTACAAACGGCTATAAATACGCACCAGTGCTGGACTGCACCACGCCCGAGTCTACGCTCTGTCCCATCAAGTCGTACTGGTTGAGACGAGAACCATCGTCAGCCACGACCACGGACTGCGCCGCCCCTCGAGTCCAAACGTACACCACTTCAGCTCTGGTGTAGGCATCTGCCGAAAACAAACAGAACACAGTATAAACTGTCCAAAGTCAAGAAGTCACTTGTCAGATGTCAATGCTTCCCGGGGTCATATACTGCAGTGGATTCTCAAGCGCAGCAGACACTGAAATATTTACAGCCTCGTGGCTTTGAGTCACAAGCTTGTTTTTTATTCATGTGTCTTCTCCCCCCCCCACCCTATTCTTCCTCCAGCGCAGACGCATCTGTTCTTTCTTTTCAAGGATTAGTTAGGTCAGGGTAGAGCTGGCTAAATCCGTCCGGCTGCTTGTGTGGACTCGGGTATGTGATGTTCGATGTCAGAGATGATCTCTACTCTCTGCGGACCTAAGAGAGAGTCCCTCACTCACAGACACTCAGTTTTGGTGACTTTAAGTAGGATCTGAACTTGGGAAAATTGAAAAGGCACAGTACTTACAGCTGCCAAATTTGAGAGGGCAAGCATGGGCATCCATTGGGAAGTCTTCTAAGTGCATTGGACATTCAGCTCTGACTGTAAGCCTGAGGCGGGAAGAGAGAAAGCAGGATACAGTGTTTAGGGCAGTTGACAGTTAATTGCAATTTTACCCACGATTTTACCCTCCATTTTCAGAACTGACAGTTCGATGGTATGATGTATTACTTGTTAAATAGTATACAATTTAACCCAAGTGTGGTTATAGTCAAAATGTTTGTAATGTTTATGACGTTTGCACTCATGTCCCATTTACACTCTCATTTCTTGATGCCCAATTCCCATTTCTTGCCTGTTTCTGATTTTTGTACCTGTCGTTTACACGTTCTTTTACTTGTGAGCCATATCTGATTATTGTGTTTACACTTGGTATGCAATTCATGACGTCACGCATGCACAAAGGCGCGTTCTAACATCTGCGCCACACTAGCCACAATGGAAGAAATTGTCTTCAAACTACTTTAAAATGATTTTGAGGTGGAGGTGGGAAAGGGCTGTTATCGCAGCTTGCGCCTATGGTTAATATATGGTGTCCTCCACCATTCAGAGGAAGTTGTGGGTACGAGAGAGATCTCAGGTCTGGTGGGAGCAAATTGTGGCGACTGACCACTTTCTTTCTCTGTGTTTCCTCTGTTGTTTACCGCGTGGGCGTCTCCACACACACTCTTCCTTCTCTGTCATTAAACTACGGAGAAGCACCACATTGTTGCAAGTTTAATGACGTACAAAACGGAATGCCTCAATAAACCCGATCTGCCTGTTTACATGATAGTTGCATTGTCGCATATCCGCAGAGCCGGCGTGTCCATAGAGGCAACCTAGGCGACCGCCTAGGGCGGCGTCCGCGACACCTCCCTCAGCCCCCGCCGCCTCAGTTATATCCCCGCCTAGGGCGGCAGAATAGAGATGAAAGCGTCTGCGACACCTCCTTCAACACTCGCGCCCTCAGTTATGTCCGCGACCCAGCACCCTATACACCCCCCCCCCACCCCCCATGCTCTACAATTTGAGGGCAGCGTGTTCGTCCTTTGCCTAGAGCGGCAGTTCAGTCCTGCATATCCGATTAATGAATGAGGCCTGAAACTGATCTCTGATCTGAGTATCCAAATTGTTTTGTGTTTACACAGTCATAGAACAGATCCGATCTGTGTCACATATGAGCAAAAAATCTGAATTGGGTCACATTTAACTGGGAGTGTAAACGGGGTGTAAGAGTGAGTGAAATCAAAATGGACAATATTTTTTAAAATAGTTTGAATAATTCCTGAGGATGCAAAAATTATTTTTGTCTCATTTAAAATAAGGATGCATTATGGTTTGATTCATATACAGTTTCATATACATTTTTTTGTATATGAATACAAAAAATAGTTTTTTTCTTATTATTATTTATTTAAAATTAATAAAAAATGTATTAAAATGAAAATAATTTCTTAAATTATGCTTAATTGAATACTTCCAATAATATCTTTTTCTTTCTTATGAGGAAGTCTTTTTTTTTCTTTCTTGTATTTGGCTGAAATAGATTATTTTAAACCATGTTAAGGTCAGTAATATTACCTAATTAACCAATAATCATTCAATTCAATCATTTACATTTAAATTGTATACACATAACAGTTCTTTCTGTCTTTTGGGGTTTTAAATCTGAATCTGACAAATGTATTTTAGGCAGAGTTTAATAGGGTATATGCGAAAGTATGCAGACTTTTAATTTGTCAGTAACCATTGGACCATTTTGATGGTCCATTTGACTATTAGTAGACTGTCTGCTTAATATCTGTTATTACTGCTGCTAAACAGACATTTAACTGACTATAAGAAACTTTGCGACCACATTTCAACTTACACTAACCCTATCTCTAATCCCAACCCAACAGTCTACTTAGAATTTAATGAGAATTAGTTGGCTTGTAAATGCAATGTAACTTAAATTCAACAAACGGATCATAAAAATACCTGAATATCAAAAAAATCATAAATGCTATTCAGGTGTTCTTGGCAAGTGAAATGACTTCACATCGAACACAGACACCAACGAAATGTGATCAAATCCAATTCTGTCCCAGTAGACAAAGTAAATGAAACACAAATAGAGGAGATTCACCTCATGGTGTAAAGCAGAGTCCCTTCCTCTGTGATCCGCAGAAGTTTGTTTGGCATGGTCATGTTATGGGCAACGGATTTCTTGCCGTTGTGGAAGAACGTGTCGGGAGTCCAGATTTTGCTAGCCATGAGGTTGTTGAGACGGAGCACGGCCATTGGGCCTTTAAATTTCAGCCTTTCATCCTTCCAGCTCTGCCTGAAGAACACATCTATGGTGTACTCCTGCAAAACCACAGTAAACATGTTCTCATGATGCATCATCGCTCGTGTTTCCTGCTGAGCCTTGTCACAGACAATTCTGGAATCTGATGTATGCCTCCAAAGTGGTTAAATAGTGTTTTCCTGTATAACTAACAGCATTAACTGTTCTCAGCCAGTGCAAAGGAATATTAACATTTTGAAAAAAACAGCTTAAACCAGTCTAGGCTGTTTGGCTGCTTTTAGCTGGTTGACCAGCCTGGTTTTAGAGGGGTTTTGGCCACTTCCAGGCTGGTTTCCAGCCATTTCCAGGCTTGTCTTAGCTGGTCAGCCTGGAAATTGACCAGCTAAAACCAGCTTGACCAGCTACCAGGCTGGCTAGGCTGATCAAGCTGGTTTTAGCTGGTCATCTCCCAGCTAGACCAGTTAAGATCAGGCTGGAAATGGCTGGAAACCAGCCTGGAAGTCGCCAAACCCTTCTAAAACCAGCCTGGTTGACCAGCTAAAACCAGCCAACCAGCCTAGGCTGGTTTAAGCAGTTTTTTTTCAGTAGGGTAGCATATTAGCATTAGTATTTCACTTCAATAACATTCTCAAATGCAACCTAAGTGTAGATTTAGTTTTAAGCATGGTAAATAAGCACATTCTACAATCATACAATTCATATTGATCACGTTATATATTGGTTGTCGACGTGACGTTACATTTACACATGACAAAATGAAAATAATTAGTATTGCCATCATTTGAAATGCAGTAAATGGTTAAACATTTGTCTTATTTTTTAACGTACTTTTGTGGAACTACTATAAAATTAAGTCTTGTCCTTTGGTGTGAAACCATACTTAATGAAAAATATCTGACAAGTCAGGAAGAAAAAAAACGATATTATTCATAATTACATATAAAATAAATAGCACTATAAAAAGATAAGTGTCCAATAATGATGATTATTCACTCTCACGCTATTTAAATATTATCAATAGTTGATTTTTTTTAACTTTTTGCTGTCACTCGATGTATTTTTATGATGCAATTTAGTAAAAAGTTAAAAATATAAATAAATAATAAACTAATTGAAACAGTTAGTGGCCCCTTATATTTTCTCAAAAAACCTGACGTTGAACTAATAAATACACTAACCGGCCACTTTATTAGGTACACCTGTCCAACTTGACGCAAATTACTAATCAGCCAATCACATGGCAAAAGCTCGATGCATTTAGGCATGTAGACATGGTCAAGACGATCTGCTGCATCTTGAACCAAGCGTCAAAATGGGGAAGAAAGCTGATTTAAGGGGCTTTGAACGTGGCATGGTTGTTGGTTCCATAAGGGTCACCAAAAGTGGACAATAGAAGATTGGAGAAACGTTGCCTGGTCTGATGAGTCTCGATTTCTGCTGCGACATTTGGATGGTTTCGTCAGAATTTGGCGTCAACAACATGACAGCATGGGTCCATCCTGCCTTGTATCAACGGTTAAGGCTGGTGGTTATGGTGTATTGATGTGCGGAATATTTTCATGCCACACTTTGGTTTCATTAGTACCAGTTGAGCATCTTGTCAACGCCACAGCCTACCGGAGTATTGTTACTGATCATGTCCATCCCCTTTATGACCACAGTGTACCCATCTTCTGATGGCGACTTCCTGCAGGATAACTCACCATGTCATAAAGCGCAAATCATCTCAGACTGATTTCTTGAATATGACAATGAGTTCACTGTACTCAAATGGCCTCCACAGTCACCATATCTCAATCCAATAGAGCACCTTTGGGATGTGGCCAACAAATCTGCAGCAACTGCGTGATGCTATCATGTCATTATGGACCAAAATCTCTGAGGAATATTTCCAGTACCTTGTTGAATCTATGCCATGAAGAATTTAGGCCATTCTAAAGGCAAAAGGGGGTCCAAACCCAGTACTAAGAAGGCATATCTAATAAAGTGGCCGGTAAGTGTATATCTATTTCTTTTTTTCTTTAAAGATGGTGCTTTAAAAAAACTACTATATTTTTTACCTTTACTGTATATATATATATATATATATATATATATATATATATATATATATATATATAATTTTTTTTTCCCTGCAAGCACTGTGAGCATTCTAATTGAGACTTGTAGAGTAGCTCTCGTGCAGTGATTTCAGTCATAAAGAGGAGCCGTGAGCTTTTTTTGAAGCATTGGTGGCCATAATTAGCTGCATGAATCATTCTAACAACTACTGATTGTCATAGCTGCGAGCATTTTTTTAATTTTCGCATGATCATCCATTACGACACACATACAGCCCAATGTTCCAGGCAGAGTCGCTTAACTAAGAGAATGAAATGTAAACGCTTACAATAATTTCTATAATTATAATCAGGAGCGGCCCAAAAATAACTAAAGCATTCAGACCCTTTTGGCTACTGTTATGATATGATATATCTTTACTGTCCAACCAGAAATGTTTCTTGTATAACTATATATATATATATATATATATATATATATATATATATATATATATATATATATATATACTGTATTTACACCGTGTCTAAAAAAATCCAAGCAAAATTAATTCTGTCAGAATTTCATCAAAATACCTCCAACTTTAATTATATTTTGTAACGGCTAATAGATTAAATTATATGATATGTATACAATTTTCCACCCCACCTGATTTATATCACCGCATTACCTTGTTAAACAATGATTACCAAATTATTAATTAAACTAAATTAGCACGCCCAAAAGTACAGCAACGTTTACACATTGGAGTCATTAATTGCAAGACTCCTGTGCAATCTGTCGGGCAGTGCGATGGGTCTTCTTGGCTCAGTACCATGTTCTCAACAGTGGTGATATTTTCAACAGTACGGCAAGTGCGTGGATGATCACTCCCCGCCACTCGACATACTGATCCAGTGCGATCAATTTTCGCCAACATTTTGTCCAGTTTTTAGTCGGAAATTAACGAACAAACTGTGAAGCACTGTAGCCTTTCAGTTTTGTAAATCTTTGATCAAACTCTTATCTTCTTTCGAAGACACCATTCTCATTTAAGCCTTACGCAGCTAAAAATAAATACGTCATCAATACGCCATCAGTACGTCATCTAGGAAACTAAAAAAAATAATTATTCTAATGCACAGATTGCGCTGTTATTCCTGTTCGAAATTTGGTCATTCTTTTTCCTGTAGTACGATAAGCAGTCTTTGTATCATATATTATTGATTGTTTTGTTTGGGTATTTTTTTTTGAGACACGGTGTGTGTGCATATATATATATATATATATATATATATATATATATATATATATATATATATATATATATATATATATATATAAATATATATAAATACTTAATGGCCACTTTATTAGATACACCTGTCCAACTGCTTGTTGACACAAATTACTAATCAGCCAATCACATGTCAGCAACTCAATGCATTTAGGCATGCAGACATGGTCAAGACGATCTGCTGCAGTTTAAACCGAGCATCAGAATGGGGAACAAAGCTGATTTAAGAGACTTTGAATGTGGCATGGTTGCTGGAATCAGGCAGGCTGGTCTGAGTATTTCAGAAACTGCTGATTTACTAGGAATTTCACGTGCAACCATTTCTAGGGTTTACAGAGAATGGTCCGAAAAAAGAGAAAATATTCAGTGAGTGGCAGTTCTGTGGGCACAAATGCCTTGTTGATGCCAGAGGTCAGAGGAGAATGGCCAGACTGGCTCCAGCTCATAGAAAGGCAACAGTAACTCAAATAACCACTCATTACAATCGAGATCTGCAGAAAGGCATCTCTGAACACGCAACACGTCCAACCTTAAGGCGGATGGGCTACAGCAACAGAAAACCACACCAGGTGCCACTCCTGTCAGCTAAGAAAAGGAAACTGAGACTACAAATCATACAGGCTCAACAAAATTAGACAATTGAAGATTGGAGAAACGTTGCCTGGTCTGATGAGTCTCCATTTCTGCTGCAACATTCGGATGGTGGGGTCAGAATTTGGTGTCAACAACATGAAAGCATGGATTCATCCTGCCTTGTATTAATGGTTAAGGCTGGGGGTGGTGGTGTAATGGTGTGGGGGATATTTTCTTGGCACACTTTGGGCTCAGTAGTACCAATTGAGCATCGTGTCAGCGCCACAGCCCACCTGAGTATTGATACTGATCATGTCCATCCCTTTATGACCACAGTGTAACTCACCATGTCATAAAGCGTGAATCATCTCAGACTGGTTTCTTGAACATGACAATGAGTTCACTGTTCCCAAATGGCCTCCACAGTCACCCTATCTCAATCCAATAGAGCACCTTTAGGTGGTGGAACAGGAGATTTGCATCATGGATGTGCAGCCGACAAATCTGCAGCAACTATGTGATGCTATCAGGTCAATTTGGACCAAAATCTCTGAAAATTTCCAGTACCTCATTGAATCTATGCCACGACGGATTAAGGCAGTTCTGAAGGCAAAAGGGGGTCCAGCACTGTATTAATAAAGTGTACCTAATAAAGTGGCCGGCATAATTCATTCTTTAACCCATCTCTAAATGATAAAGCAGAGATTTTCTCACATCAAACTGCATACTAGTTCATCACAGGTAGCTGCTCACATTAACTATGAGCATATTCCTTTAATGAACTGAATCGACAAGCGTCACAATATGTTTTTCTCATTTATCACTGAAATTATTTTATGAAATGTTCTGCTTGACAAGCATGTTGTGCTTTCTTTAAAGAAACATTAATTGGTTTGATATTTTATGCAAGACATTCATATAATTTTTAAATGCCTTAATGCTTCTTCTATTTTTTTGGTTACAGCACAAATTTACAAGTACTTGTTCTTTTCTTTCACCTTTTATCATCACATTTCAATAAGAACAAAAATTGATTTTATGTAAATGATATGCTTAAAGTGTTAATACAAAAGCAGGTCAGAAATGTATGACATTCAAAGTATGTTTCAAATGTTTTACCATGTCGTGGTCTGAAACTGGCCCGATACTCGTCACGAAAATGTCAGTCTTGACTTCGGTTACACGCTCTGTTGAAGCAAGAAATTAGCAGTTTGAGTGTCAATCAGTGTTGGTCATTAGTTTTAACAACCCTTTAATCCAGAGGTTCAACCTGCCTGACTTTGATCTAATCGAGGTTCAGCAAACTCTGCACACTCACATTACACAGCTTCTGTCTCTCTCGCAACACATTTCTACTAATTCCTGACATATTAGAGCGGGGAAATGGAGCATTGAACACATCATGTTTGGTAAAAACCCAAACAATACAAATTTAAAAACAAAACAAAACCAAAAAATCTGAAAAATAAGTTATATGTAATAACAATCACGTCACGAGGAGAAAGTACTCAACTACTGAAATGTGTTTAATACTTTATATAAAAGCCTTTTTTGGTGATGGCAGCTTAATAACTACATCAGAGTGTAAAAACCTTGATTCGCGTGGGTTTCCTCCGGGTGCTCCGGTTTCCCCCACAGTCCAAAAACGTGATACAGGTGAATTGAATAGGCTAAAATTGTCCGTAGTGTGTGTGTGTGAATAAGTGTGTGTGTGTGTGTGGATGTTTCCCAGAGATGGGTTGCGGCTGAAAGGGCATCTGCTGTGTAAAAACGTGCTGGATAAGTTGGCGGTTCATTCCACTGTGGCGACACCGGATTAATAAAGGGACTAAGCCGACAAGGATTCAATGATATATGCTATATATTCTTTATATATATTCTATTTTCTTTTGTTGTCTTTCTTTAAGAATAAGCCTGTGTTGAACATTTAATTTCAAGAAAACAAAACAACAACAACAACAACAACAACAACAACAACAGTGCGTTCATCTTGAAATGAAGACAGATGTGGATAGAAGTTGTTAGTCAACATGACTTGCTATTTATGACAGGTTGTCACGTTGTAGGTGCTCGGGTAATGCGAGTGAGGTCAAACAAGCACATTGAAATGTAAAAATTATATGCTGCATGTGTGGGGAATTTCTTGCCAGCTCAATGAATCATTCAGTCGCGTTCAAAGCTAATTCATGTCAGGTGTTAAATGATCTGCATTTGTGTGGAAAACAATGTTCACTTGATGTGCTTTTGCCCGGCAGGCTTGTGTAAAACAAAACCGCTCTTTAGCCATCTCTTTCATGATGTTTTTTAACAGGGCATGCTTTTGCAGTATAGCTCATAAATGCAAATGAATCACATGCGGTCATTGTTTTCAAGCCCAACTGCATGCTTTTATTATATCTATGTATATTTTTGTTCCAATGATCATTGTGGTCCCACTTTATATTAACTTGCCTAAACTAATATGTACTTACACACTAATTAATAGTTTGTTACAATGTACTTATTGTGTAAATACATGTATTTACTGTGTACTTATGCTTGATTAAATACATGTATGTAATTACATCTGTAAATAACTTTTGTAATTACATTTGTAAATACACTGTTGACCATCCCTTAAACCTTAACCCACCCTTAAACCTACCCATACCACAAAACCTGTCCATAACCCAACCTCTATCCCAAATTAAAAGCACCACAAGTGTTCTCAAATACATTAGAAACACAGTAAGTACATCGTATTTATTTTTTTTATGTAAGTACATAGTAGTTAAGGACACTTAATATAAAGTGGGACCATCATTGTTTTCTAACCCAACATTATTGGGAAAATTGTAATTAATATAAGCATTAGCAAGTGATTTTTAAAGTCCATTTACTATCACTATCCCTATCAAATGATTCATTTAAATTCAAACCATTTTTAATGTAGCTTATCAGTGTACAATACGACTCTGTGTAGTAAACTCTGCTCCATCTAAACTCATAAACTGGAGTTTTACTAGAACCGGCTTTACTGATAAAATGTGCATTAAGATTGCATCGATTAAATCACCTGACCCTATAAAGAGTTTAAATTTTAGTCTTTGTAATATTATTATCATTATTATTTCTGTGCATAAGTATGCTACAGTATATTCCTTAATTAATAGTTTTATTTATTTGATCCATGTTTATTTCTCACCAAGTTTTATATGTAAGGCCTCATCAAATCATGTGTAATTCTACCATTAAACCTTAAAGTGATAATTTAAATAAACAAAAACAAAATAAAAAAATGACTCACTAATTACTCACCCCTTAAATTGTTATAGACATTTAGGAATTTCCTTTTTTTCATTGAACATAAAGAAAGATGAAAAACCTGACCTAACCATAATCCTAACCCCAACAATTGTATAAATGAGATTGTATGAAATTAAAAAGTTATAAACTGCTTTGAGATAGCGTTGGAGTATCCGGAGCTATATGCAATCTAGACTTTATCGGAAATACCATAGAAAAAAATAGCGGTTGGTGAATAAATAGAAGATTTAACTGCTTCATTGATTCAGCATGAATAATAAACACACGTCTAGGAAATAGTCTCACAGGATGATTTATTTCACACACTTGACTCTAGTTTTAAGTTACGTTTTGAGTAAAAAAACAGCCTGATCTCACGAGAAAACGTATGTATTTTACGATTTGCCAGTTTAGTGGCTAATTCGTACGAATTCGTACAAGTTCAGTCGTACGGAATTGTGTGATTTTAAAAAGGAGGCGTGGCACCTAACTCCACCCCTAAACCCAACCATCATTGGGTGATGACCAAATCGTACTAAATTGTACTAATTAGATCATACGAATACATACAAATTAGCCACTAAATCAAAAAAGTTACAAATTGCCGTGAGATTGTGTTGTAAAATACACGTTGCTATATGAATTCGTTGTTATATGAACAACAATTAATTGGATGCCACTATCGAATGATTTGTTTAAATTTGAACCAATTTTTACTATTTACTCACTACTTAAGTTGTTATAAACCTTTAGAAATGTTTCTTTTTTCATTGAACACTAAGAAACACAGCTGAAAACCTGACCTAACCATAATCCCAACCCAGGCTCATTCTAGAAACGTAGCCCCGCAGACCTTTCTGGAGACTGCGAAATACATCCCAGGAGGTACGCATTTGTGAAGTCTTGAACGCCTCTCGCGAGTGCGTGCCATTCACTCCCGCGCTGTTCTCACGCAAAAAGCCGCCAGAGGCCGCTGTCGAGTGACCGTCTTTCCGACTGACTGACTGAAGGACTGAACTATTGACTGGGCGGTCGACCCGGCCACCCTCCTCCTCCTCCTTCTTCCCTAAACCCAAGCAACGATTTACTAAAGCCGTCTAGAAAAAGAAAAGCCCTCGTCTGATTTTGACCGTGTTTTGGGATTTCACCGCATTCTCGCCACATTACGAACTCGTTCGCTTTATTTTTTGGATTCTGTTTTTTGTCTCACCTGATTTCTGGAACCGCTCTTCCCCGGACTTGAACCTGGTTGTCGATTGCGGCCGGCTCCTCCTCCATCGGGCCTTCGCTCTGCCGACGTAACATGACGAGCTAACCAGACAAACTGGTTGCGGCGGGAAAGCCTTCCACACGGAGGAGGTGAGCCATCAGCCGGCGAGCGCGAAGAGGAGTGGCGTCAAACCGCCCTGTAGCGTTCGTTTGAAAGAACGAAATGCAGCCATACGTACCCCCCGCCATGTAAATCGCGGTCTCCAGAAACGTTCACAGAGCTACGTTTTCAGAACGAGCTTGGGTTGCATAATCCTAACCCTAACCCCAACAAGTATTATGAAAGTCAATGGTTACAGATTTCCAGCTTTCTTCAAAATGCATTGAAATTGAGAATGAAACTCCGACACGCTTGGAACAAATAAAGGAAGATTAAATGCTCACAATTTAAAAATTTTCAGTGAACAACCCCTTTAAATCCATTTAAAACACTGGACTATTATTGATTACTGATGTATTAGTACAGACTTAAAAGAGCACATTGACAATATAAGTTTAGCAACATCGCTCAAGGCTGAATGCAACTTTATGAAGCAAATGATTAGTGAAACTCATATACTGACCTCCGAGACCAGGCCTAAGACGATTGTCATAACCATCGAGGAGGCTGTCCAGAATCCTGGTGAACACTGTGGTGTTGTCCTTCTGCTCATCTGCATTCTGACTAGAGCTGACAATGCAAAAAACAGCAGAGGATTTATTCAAAACCCAACAAAAAAGCAATAATCAGCAACAGCGAAGGGTGGCCAGAAACACACCCTGATGTGTTCAAATCAATGCAACACCCTCCTCAGGGTAACTCCAGCCTGTTTAAAGAGAATTTGCAATGTAATGGCCTGAAGACAAACAACAAATCTCCTTCCGTCCTAGAAGCAAAAGAAGGGCGATCTACACAGGAACAATGCATTATTAATTAGCAAAAATACTCCTTTTAGATGCAAATAACCATGTGCTTATTCAAAAATCTGGCAACATGGAGCAGCCAGACGCACAAATGGTGACAAACACCTCATGAATATTTCAGACAGATCATTAGGAGGAAAATGCAGTTGAATCATTTGGTGTAAAATGGTATTTTACGAAGAACTCTGTGAGGATGGTGGCCAATTTACCCTCGTCTAAAAACAATCACCGACTGGCCGTTCATACATAATGGCTCGCTTTTTTTTTTTTTTGGTAATCATTGGCATTCTGTTCCCACTGGCAGGTAGTGGACCACAAGTGCGGCTGCAGACTCAATAAACACTGTTTGGGCTTTCAAAAATAAGCTTGGCGTGGAAACAGATTTCAAGGAGAGGATGAGGTCATCACAATTAGTTAGCATGGACCGCGGATGGGGGTGTTTTGAAATGGCAAAGCGAGAGGGAGAGAGTGTGACAGGCACACACACACACATAGAGATAGAACTAGTCAGATTCATTACAAACCATCTGCATGAATGTACAGTTGTGTATTGTATTTTATTTTATTATTATTAATATACATTTCTTCAATTATCTTTTATTAAAAATAATAATATTAGACTTTTTTTTCTCTCTTAATAATGTATGTACAAATTTCCAAATTGTATTTGTGTGTGTGAATATGTAGCCTAGTATTATCCCTTACTAATTTATTCATTGTTTTTTGAGAGAGAATAGTTAGTTGTTGTATGTCTGGTAGATGTTATCGTGGTAACACTTTACAATAAGGTTGTAGTAGTTAAGTTAGGGATGAAGTACATCCAAAAGATTGTTATCGCAGAATAAATCCCGACATACTAATCAACAGCCTGACGCAAAGTTGATGCAGTTTTTTTTTTACTTTTGTTTTAAAGCAAGATGCTAACTGTCTAATCCAAATCAATGATTTATGCTAAGCTAAGCTAAAAATACTCGAGCCAGACCAGGGGCCTCATGTACGAAGACTTGCGTGGAAATCATACTAAAACATTGAGTACGCACAAAGCTGTAAATGTGCGTACGCAGAAAAAAATTCAGATGTATGAAACACTGCGTACGCCGAATCTCACGCATATTCTTTTGTACATCCGAATGAACGTGAAACTGAGCGCAACATGCACGAGCAAAAAACCCCTCCCTGCCTCCTCCCCCGTATGAATATGCTAATGACTCTACTTTGGCAAAACCCAAGGAAAAAGCAAAGGCAAAAGCAAGCAAAAAGAGAAACTTTGAACACAATGTGAATTGGAGGTGCTCCTTTCGGAGTTAGAAAGGAGAAAAGCGGTGTTATTTGCAAGTTTATTTGCAAAGAAAAAAATAGAGTGGGAGAGTTTAGCTGATGCAGTTAACATAGTTGGGTCTGAACATCGCACTGAGTGAATTAAAAAAGAAATAGTGTGGTTTATAGGTGTAAAATGTTGCAGCACCCTTATTAGTCTCAGTGGCGCAGCTCGTAAGACGTATGTTAACATGTTTTGACACGTTCGAGCATGAACTCGGTTCGAATCCAGCGTCTGATGAACTCTTTCTTCTTTTTTACCCCGCTACATATCAGATTTTGCCAACTATTTATCATAAGGAAGACAAGTAGGAATTATTAATAAGTCTGTGCATCATATTTTATTTGCACATTTATTGAATGGAAATGTTTCTGGAGCTGCGCACATTCCCACGTTCAGTTCATCGTTAGTAAATCCAAACGTGAGCGATTCTGAGCGTGAAACCTGGCGTACGCAAAGTTTTTGTGCGTACGCAGCGTTGATACATGAGGCCCCTGGAGATCAACTGAATGGACTAAAGTTTCTAAAACACAACTTGAGGGGAGTTCAAAAAACTGCTGGAATCTTTTACCTATATTTACTTATACCAAAACATGTTTTTCAAAGTTGATCCCACCCTTAAACTTACCGAACTCTTTCCAAAACATTAACACATCTAGTTTTATTTATTTTTATTGTACTTAAAATGTACTAACTTAATATGTAACTAACGGTGTACTTACCTAAGAAAGTACTGGGTTATGCAAGTTAACTAAACGGGTCAAGGTTAGGTTTAGTGGTATGCAAGGGGTTATAACCTAGTTATTACACAGTGTTTGTAACACCTATTATAAGGACATGCTATGCACAAGCAAAACAGAACTGTAAAATAAAGTGCTATGGTAACACTTTATTCATCCCATTCATTTACTATAGTAACTACAAATAATGATTTGCAACTAATCCCAAAACAAACCTGTAATCGGACCCTAACCATATTGTAAATGCATGCAATTCCAACTCATGCTCATTATTGATACGTGTCCCTGTATACTTTTTTGGACAGTGCGAAATATGTCCCAGGAGCTACGTTTTCCACCAGACGCTGCTGTGTACGCTTTTACAGATATTAAATATCTCTCGCAAGTGCCATTCGCACCTGCTGTTCTTGCAAAAATCCACCAGAGGCCGATGTTGACTGTCTGACTGATTTACCGACTAACCGACCGACCGATATCCCACCCACCCCTTTCCCTAAGCAATCTAGAAAATAAAAGCTCTCATGGCCACCACATTTTTAGATTTTACCACATTCTCACCCTGTTATTTAGTTGTTTATTTAATTTTTTGCCTTTCGTTTTACCTACTTTCTAGAACCTATCTAGAACTCCATCTCTGCATCTATCTAGAATCTAGAACTCCTCTCTGCATCTCAAGTTCGCCGATGTAAATGGTGAGAGTAAACAGCGGAAAAGCAATCCACATGGAGGTAAGCGGTCAGCCGGTAGCAAAAAAAGAAAACAAATCCGTCTGTGGGGTCATACCGCCCCTTAGTGTTCAATTTAAAGACAAAACGCAGCAATACATAGCTCTGGCTACATAATTTGTGCTCTCCAGAAATGTATACGGGGGTACGTTTTCACAATGAGCCTGTGTTATGTAATTTAATTATAATACTTAGTAGTTCAATTAAAAGTTACACTCTTTATTTAACTAACTCCATAACCATAACATTAAGCATTTAACACCTCAACAGCACCAAAAATGTTCTGTATTGCAAAGGAAACACAGTAAATTACTAAACATTTTAGTGCAAAGTATTTAAAAAGACCAAAATATAAAGCAGGACAAACATAGAAACACACTCACAATTATGAGTCCACTTCTTTCAAAGAAGTGTTATGATTTACAGATCCTGTTTCTACAGTAGGTCACAATATCAAACGCTTAGCAAATGTTAACATAAACACCCTTTTTAAAGAATGTAACACCTTTGCTCTCTCTCTCTCTCTCTCTCTCTCTCAATTCAATTATCACAAATGTTTACAAATAATGCTGGCTTGAGCAAATTTTTTATAATAAATGTATTAATTTATTAATTTGTTGTCAATTTCTTCTTTTCACTGTCTTAATTTGACCCTACACCTTGCTAGTTAAGAGTTTGTGTCTTGTTTCTAGTCCAAATATCTCAACATTCTTAAATCAAGAAGCATTTTTAGACACATCAACTTGTTTTAAGATATAATGCATCAAAAGAAACCCTCCTAATATCCTTGAGTTCTATTTGACCTCACTGTTTTACCTAAAATTGGAAAAGTATTAAAATTTTTGTTGTTTTAATAGTTTTGTACTCATTATTGGTATATATGTTTGTTATTTATAACATATGAAAAGAATATCAATTTATTTTAGCAAGGACTGGAGCACAATTATGTATAGAGTCATTTAAACACCAAGAAAAAAACATCATGGTTTGCTGAGCATGTATTGTCTAAAGGGACAGCGGCCACAAAATAGAACCAGACATTCATCCACAGTGATTTGGGGGCCTGGGTTGAAGAAATGGCAATCGCTAGACCCACTTGTCCCATACATCCTGTCTTGCTGCGAGTTTGTCATGCTCTCGTCTGCCCTGCCTTGTTTCTTTGTCATCAAAGTGTATGATACAGGAGAAAACATGCAATGTCTTCAGAGACATGCTGGCTGGAAATATTGACCTTCAGTGTCAGCATTCCAAAGGCTTGCTTTTGCTTCTCCTTGTACACTCCTGCCAGAATGAGCAACCCAATGTAAGCTTGCAAATCAGTCATATTGAAGTTTTTTTTCCAGCTGTCCCTATAAACCCTCCTCCCCTATAAGTTTGTCATTTCAAGTAAATAATTTTCAATTGATCGTGTAATAAAAAGCTGAGATGCTGATTTTATGTCTTTACTGTCAGTTGTTTTTGCAATACTACAGGTAGGGTTGTGTTAGTTTTTTGTATATTTAGTATACTGAACATATACAATTTCAGTGCATGTTATAAAATCATAGCATGTTGCAGTGACCTCAATATCACCCCAAAACACATATGTGTACATTTCTTATATTTCTCATGTCTTATACATACTAAAAATCCCTGGGGTCAAATTGACCCCAAACAATACCGATGTGACAAAATGTGTACAGGACATTGAAAAAATAACATTATGTAAATTTTTTGTTTACCAAGTTTTCTCCATTAAATTAGGAAAAGTCATTCAATCTGGAGCAAAAAAAAAAAAAAAAAAAAAGAAGTCAACTATGTATGTACATACGTTTAACATTGAAAAGGTTTTCATGCTGATTTGTAATTTTGTCTATAGTAATGCAATAGATAATCTGTATGTATAAGGGGCAGGAATTGTGTGTGTGTGTGTGTGTGGGAGGGGGGTGGGGGGGGGGTGTATTTCAGAGTGTTAATACGTAGTCAACAAAGACATCAATTATCTGACACTAACCATTGCATACATGTCAACCCTCCCGTTTTTCCCGGGATTCTCCCGTATTTTACAGTTCTATCCTGCTATGATCCCGTAAAGGTATTATCTCGAATTTCTCCCGTATTTTCAGTCTTTCTCTGAAGGGTGGCAAATAAACATTTAAAGAGCCGAGCCTCCCTATACGCAACCCATACCGCCGAACCACCAGGGGCCGCCCTTGCTCTTAAATGCGAGTCTGTGCTTTTGCTTTGTTTAGGCACGAAAACACTTTAAAATAAACATAAAAACAGCGCGATTTCCTTCCTCTTCATTACAGGTGCCGTCTCCCCTTCATATGCAATCCTCAAAACAGTCATCGCACTGCATGACTGTCAGCTGACGCGCTCCAAAGTGATAATAGACAGTTTCCCAAACGTATTCTGTACTTGTGATTTGAAGCAGAGCTAAAGTCTGGGTTTTGGGTGCATGTTTAAACAGACATATACACATAATTAATAATATTAATATCTAAAGATGTTGATCTAGGTGGGTTTTTTTTTTCAAACACAACTAATTTCATCCTAAATGAGCATAAACAGTTAGGAAATCAATCGAATGCTTTCATTTTAATGTTAGATGTGTGCATTTTTAAAGTGATACCTGTGTTATTTAATGTAATCAAATACATCCAATTGAAAAAAAAAATCTAAATTAATAAATAAGAGATTCATTCCGTGCTCTCTAATCAGAATATGTAAGTTATCCAGTTAAACTGCTAATGAGATTTGATAGATTGTTTTTATTTCATTATAACATCTAGTAATTTTAATAAGCTGAACTGTTTGCTAATTTATTTGCTGCTAATGTATACTATTTATTTTTTTCTTTTGTAAATAATAATCATAAAACATATTACTGACCATTTAGTTGTTTATTTACAACAGCTCCAAATGAGCAAATTTAGCAATTTAGGGATTTTTTTTTAAAGGGGTTTGGGGAATCCCTTATTATGGTGGGCATATTCCTTATTTTCACATCCCAATGTTTTAAATTGCTATGGTCAAGTTGACCCTAGAGTGAAATGGCTGTTAGCAGATTTTAAAGTAACAGGGAGGTGAAGTGAGTTTTTCTTAAAAACAAGCTAAATAATCTGCCAGTGGGGTAAGAAAAATAATCTTGTTATTCCTTTTGACATAAGATTATTTTACTTTACCCCACTGGCAGATTATTTAGCTTGTTTTAAATAAAAACTCACTCGATTTAGACATATTATTTCTTAAAACAACAAAACATTTTATGCTTGTCTAGAAAATGCTTCTTGATTTAAGAATTTTGTGATATTTGGACTAGAAACAAGACCAAAAATCTAAGAAAGAAACGCATTTTTTGCAGCATTATAGGCAAAAGGCAATGCGAACAGGAAACAGAGGCATTTCCCCCACCTTCGGACCTCACTAGATTCAACAACAGACAGCCACAAACACAACAAACAGAAAAAAAGGAGAATACTTCCACCCTTCCCCCCATCTGCGCAGAGAGACACACACGCACATGCACACAGACCCCATGAGCGACACGGAAAAGGGGTCACGAGAGGAAAATGTGGTCTCATATATTACGCATGCATGCCAGTACAACAGTAATGCCGGTAATGTCAGTCTGACCTAAAATCACATCTCCACTATTACCTCTGCTATAAAAAAAATAATACAATGAAAAAAGAATGCACACAGGCCAATAATAAAATATTTCACTGCTAATTTAGTCATAATTAAAATTGCAGGTAAAATAAACTACATATTCGAGCAGATTTAGTGAATGAGAAAGCATGCAGAGATGAATAACACATTGCGAAATCCATGTGCTGAATACAGATCCCCCTTTAAACATTGTACAGCATCCCCATCTACAGGTCATCCGAACAGCAACAGTGTCGAATGCATGCTGTCCAGTGCCACAGTGCTATGGGGTGTCTGCTCACACGAGCCAAAAAAAAAAGAGAGCTTGGTTTTTTTTAAAAGTATTGTTATAAAATATTGATGGGAATGTCAAGATAGTGTGACTGTCACCTGTCTGAATGCATAAAGCTAGCAAAGCATGTATCGTACACTGCAAAAAAAAAAAAAAAAAGCGTTCCTTATTTCGATTTTTGACCTTGTTTCTAGTCCAAATATCTAAAACTTCCTAAATCAGGAAGCATTTTCTTGACAAACAGAAAGTATTGTGTTGTTTTAAGAAATAATATGTCAAAATTAAGTTAGTGTTTCCTTGAAGCAAGCTAAATAATCTGCCAATGGGGTATGCAATATATATATTCATTCCTTTTGACTTAACATTATTTTGCTTAGCTTATTGGCAGATTATTAAGCTTGTTTCAAGGAAACACTCACTTAATTTTGATATATTATTTCTTAAAACCAAGCAATGTGGTTTGCTTGTCTGGAAAATGCTTCTTTTAAGAATATTTTGACATTTGGACTAGAAACCAAACAGCAAATCTAAGTAAGAAAGGCATGTTTTGCAATTGTTATTTGGCTACTCAGCACACATCAACGATAGGCATATGTACATCCTAGCTACGCTAATAACAAAACGAGACAGCTATCAGTTATGTCAAACATTACATAAAAAAAGAAACTCAGTGTGACTAAGCAGAACATATCTGCTTTAAACTAAAACTGTTTGAATTGTGACGTTAACTGATGCTTTTTTTACATTTCTTAGTAGCTTTTGTCTCGTTTATAGCCCAAATATATAAATCAAGAAGCATTTTCTGGACAAGCTAATCTGAATGATGTCAGTGGGGTGAGTAAAATGATCAGATTTCAAACCAAAATGAGATTATTTTGCTTGTTTTGCAAACAATAAAAAAAACAATATTTTAACGTGTTAAAGTACTTATTAAATGCTTCTTGATTTCAGTTTTTAGGCTAAAAACAAGTCAAAAACTGAAAGAAAGATGTAAAATTAATATTATTATTTTTTGCAATTAAAATTGCTGAAAAAAATATTTGTTTTGGTTGGAAAGCTCTGCATTGTGCCTTAATATTAATATTAATGCTAGATTTATATAAATGCCAGTAACACTATACAAAAAGTTTCATTTGTTAAAATCGGATAATGCATTTAACATAAACATCAAATAAAAATATATGTAGTTTTGCAGCATTTATACATGTTTGGTTAATAGTAGTACAATATGATTGCTCAATTAAATACCATTGTTCAGTAATTTAATACAACTGTTCATTAAACATTAATGAAGCTAAACAAACATTAACAATAAACATATATAGTTTTGCAGCATTTATACATTTTTGGGTTAACAGTAGTACAATTGCTCAGTGTAAAACTATAGTTCATTAATTATTAATAAAAACTAAAATGAACAAAAAATAATAAAATGCTCTAGAAGTATTGCTTTTTATTGTTAGTTCATGCTAACTAATAGATTTAGCCAATGCTAACGTGTTGCCGAAATAGCTTACCAAATATTTTTTTTTTCTTTTTCTTTCTGAACTCACATCATATGTCAGCAAAAAATCACTCATAAATGAACACCACATCGTGAACCGTAGAGGATGACAGTTAAAAAAAAAAGTTAGAATTAAAATATTAATGAAAGCCTCATTAGCATAACGCCCCCTTTGAAGTCTGAGGTTCTGATCTTGGTCTAAGTTAACGTTGCAGGTTTAGATCAAAGACCTAGGTTTAGATCAAAGTCCTCACAGTTTAAAATTGACTTTACAGTAACTACAGCTAAGAGAGTGATATATATATATATATATATATATAGTTAAAGTCAAATTTTTAGCCCTCCTTTAAATTTTCTTTTCTTTTTTTTTAATATTTCTCAAATTATGCTTTACAGAGCAAGGAAATTTTCACCATATGTCTGAAAATAATTTTTTTCTGTCTTGTTTGTTTTATTTTGGCTAGAATAAAAGCAATTTCTATTTTTTTTAAACCATTTTAAGGTCAACATTTTAAGCCCCCTTAAGCAATATTTTATTTTATTTAAGCTATATATTTTTCGATAGTCTAGAGAACAAACTATTGTTATACAGTAACTCGCCTAATTACCGTATCCTGCTAGTTAACCTATTTAACCTAGTTAAGCCTTTAAATGTCGCTTTAAGCTGTATAAAAGTGTCTTGAAAAATATTTAGTCAAAAATTATTTACTGTCATCATGGCAAAGATAAAATAAATCATTTATTAGAGATGAGTTATTAAAACTATTATGTTTAGACATGTGTTGTAAAAATCTGCTCTCCGTAAACAGAAATTGTGGGAAAAATAAACAGAGGGGATAATAATTCAGGGGGGCTAATAATTCTGACTTCAACTGTATATGTACATGATATATATGAGAATGTGATAATCATTCTAAGATGTGAGTGAAAAATATTCATATATACCAAAACCAGAAACACATGCTTACCTTTTTCCAGCCAGAGCATTGGTGACCAGTAAACAGGCCCAAATCCAAAGCCAAGCTGCTCCTCTTCCACCCCACATCATTCTCCGAAGAATGAATCCCCTCTAAAGAAGAGGAAAACAAAAATCAACTTCATAAAAGGGTGGAAAAACTTATAGCATACGCTGTAAAAAAATACTGGGTTCCTCGCAATTCCTTTATGTTGTCCCAATGCAAATTGATTAAGTTAACTTAAATGTTTAAGTTGATTAAATTAAACAATTAAGTTGCTCTTAAAATACTTTAAGAAATGTGTTGCCTTAACTCATTTTAAATAAGTAGTTTGAACAAGCAGCACATATTTCGAGCACTGAAACAAATTACTCAAAGATAATTCCTTGAATTTACTTTTTTTTTACTTTAAGTGGTAGTAAACAATTTATTTGGGCTGAATTTAAACAAACAAATTAAGTTGAACATTATTAAACTTAATTTATTTGTTTAAATTCAACACAAATAAATAGTTTGCAACAGTTCTGCATGCAACACTTTTTTTTCAGTGTGTTTGAGACTTTCACTTTTAAAAAAAAGCCACACAATTCATTAATGTTGTCCCAACACACATCCATTAAGTTAACTTAACATTTTTAACAAATTTGTGTGGATTGAACATAAAAAATTAAGTTGTCCTAAGTAAATCTCAAGAATTGTGTTGTTTGAGCTCATTTTAAATAAGTAGTTTAAACAAGTAAAAAAGATATATATATATATATATATATATAAATATATTTGAGTGTTCAAGGCTTTAGTCAAATAAATTCAGGCTTTCCCTCCGGACCATAATAAGGGAATTGTAAAATATAGTGCACATTATTATCAATATTCATATTTAAAATGCGTATCTGCTTAAAAATAAACATGGTTTACCTTGTAACTTGATTAAATATGGAAAAACAGGTTTATATTGTTTTAGACAAAACAAGTTTCAATAGACCCAGCTCTATTATCTAACTACTTTTACACACTTTAACACTCGGTGTCTGTTGATGGGATACCTACGTGTAATTTTAGATGTGTTGCTTCACCACACATCGAAATAAAAACGCATGCAGAACAAAATGTTCATATTTCCATGTTTTTAACCCTGATATCCATCTCAAAGCGCGAGCACTCGCGAAAGCTGCGCGTGGATGTGAATTAGTGCTCGAGCCCTTCTTTATACAGCTAAGCACAACAGCAATTATACACACCATCAGAATTATTATGTTCCAGCTTGCAAATCGGCGGTCATTCCGTTATGCATAAAGCCACATGCTCTCCATGCAAACGCCAAGCGCCTGTTCTCCTTTTAGAATATTATTACGTGCTCGCTGTGCATTAGATGAATGTAAATCACGCATTAACGCAAATCATTACACGCAAATCGGCTCGCTAATCCTCCGTAAACATCACACTAAATGATTTACGCCGAAAAAAAATCACTCAACGCGATGCCCACACGTTCACACGATATTTTTGTTTTAGTTGAAATCGCCAGAGTTCACAGGGATTATAACGCTCGCGCAGTCCATAACATCCCCAGTTTGGACTACAATCGTTAAAAGCATATGTCTTAAAGGCAACGAGTGTTGGGCGTGCGCCTCGGGGTTTGCTCCTAAAACATTCAATCAGAGTAATTAAGCAAGTTGACGGCAATCATGCACGACACCACACAGATAAAAGTACCTCATAGTCCATTTTAGATTTCCAGGAATGTGGCAATATGCGGCTGCGATCCCCCAACCCCCGCAAGACACAAGCATCAAGTCTTCCCCGTGCACTTACGTTAAGTCGACTGCGCCTTTATCGCCAAACTTTTTAGTTTTTTTGTTCCTTGCAAACGCGTCTTTTCAGTGTGGATGCGAGGAGATGATGCGAGGAGATGTGAGCTGTGCTGGATTTGAGCTCGAGGCTGATGCTGCTGCCGCTGATGATGATGATGCTGAGCGCGCGCAGCTCTCGCGCACTCCTCATCGAAACTCTTCCCAGTTTACAGCAAATTTGTCATCTAGCTAAAAAAAAATCCCCAGGAATAAAGCGTAAATGAGGGAAAACACCTGCGCTATTTCGAATTGAGACGAGATACGTGGCGATTGTGATAGGGAACGGAAGGTGGTACCAATCTCACATCGAAAGACCAATCCGTCCCATTTTTATATGCAGCACAAATTCACTTGCGCTGCTGTCGACTTAATCTCTTTCAGTGCTTGGGAAATCAAATCCTCTTACATTTTTTTTTATAACCCGGATCTCTTTTTTCTCCTCTCTCTCGCTCTCCTCCATCGCGTTGGAACATCAACACAAAGCGCATCATCTCCGTCACATTTAGCATGCCGTTAATTGTCAGCCCCGACGTTTAACGTTGAGCACAACACGCAGGCATGCAACAATCTATGCATGCTAAAAAACCGCAGTGCATGCACACCAAAAACAGCCCCCAAATAAAGTGAAATGCATGCGTCTCTCACCGAAAAATCAGGATGGCTCGAACGTTTCCCCCAAAAATCACCTTGAAGAACACTCTTGTCTCTGACTCACCCGGAATGTATCGCACGGATGTGTATTTTTGAGTCGAATGCTTAAGGAAGATCCGCAGTCCTACAGCGCATCTGCAGAGGAGCTTTTCTGATCATTTGCGTAGCGAGGAGGACACAAAACTAAAAGCCGGAGGGTGTTTCAGACGTGACATTAACGAGGAGAAGAGCGCAGCTTATTAAGAGGCCACGTCGCCAGATTCTGGGGACGCTTGGAAACATTAGGACAGCTTTCACACAAACTCCACACAGCGTCTTGACGTTCATGTATCACGTCCGTGCACGCGCGAGACGGGATTTAACAATAAGCGACGATGCCTTTGTTTCTCGCGCGCGCGCTCCCTCTCTCGCGGCAGGCTGTGGTTCAACTTTAACCTGATGCAGTGCGAGCAACAGCTGCATACTTTTAGTTTTAAAGTTTTAAAGGAGCATGTGACTCCACGACGACGTCTCGTATCTCGAATTCACCGTGTTGTCGTCCTGGAACTACCTGAGAGGAAAAAGTCGGATCTCGCGCATCACGTTTCGCACGTGACCGTGCAGACGGCGTCATGTGCATCGGGAAAGTTTTTATTTATTTATTTACTATTATTGTTATTTGCAGAACGTACCCTTCTTCTTAATCGCCAACTCATAAATGATTCACGGTTATGGAGTGACATTAATTCCAATGCATGATCTCTATGACTCTGCTCGATTCAGCACCACGGACAGCCACGAGACTGCAGACAGCTTTTTTTTTTAAAGGTTTCTTTCAGCAAACACGTGCACTGGTGGGTTTTGTACAGCAGGGGTCTTTTTGTTGAAACCTTTGGTTTGATATAGGCATTGAGGCGAGATGCTGTTTCCAAAATATCATAAACAGATTCTAAAAATAACTAATTTCAGTACAAGGTACATCGTTGGGTAAACATTTATATTCAGACTTGAGACTCCTCGTAAATTGTAATTAGCATATTGTATTTACAACATAACTGCCCTGCTGTACTATAAAGTGTACAATCATCATTCAGTTTAAAAAGTTGGCATTCTCTATACTGTTTTAGAGAGTTTAGTCATGTATATCCTTTTTTGCATTTCATAATTATTTTACCCTCATCAATATATTTAGTTGCAGTACATATAAAGAGTTCAGATGCAACAATTTCTAAGTACCATCTGAAATTTTCTCCTGCACTCTCAGAAAAATGTTACAATGTTGTACAAACCCTTGTCACTGGGGCTTTACCTTCGTACGGGACATAATTGTACCTTTAGACAAAGAAACTAATTTGTACCATTGCCGTTTATACCTTTAAGGACATCATGGGAAACCTAATGTACTTTTGGTTTTTAAAACCTGCAGATACAATATTGTGCCTTCATTAAAGGTACAAATCTGATCCATAAAAGTGCCACCACAGTGACAAGACACTTTGTACCTAAACAGTGTCAAAAATGCTTACCAAACATTTATTTAAACGCCTTTAATGTTTAGTTAACAATGCCTATAATTTTATGTTTTACCAGTTGTTTTGTAATATTCATTTATTTTCTTGTCGGCTTAGTCCCTTTATTAATCCGGGGTCGCCACAGCGGAATGAACCACCAACTTCAGCAAGTTTTTACGCAGCGGATGCCCTTCCAGCCGTAACATCCACACACACATTCACACACACACTCATACTCTACGGACAATTTAGCCTACCCAATTCACCTGTACCGCATGTCTTTTGGACTGTGGGGGAAACCGGAGCACCCGGAGGAAACCCACGCAAAGGCAGGGAGAACATGCAAACTCCACACAGAAACGCCAACTGAGCCGAGGTTCGAACCAGCGACCTTCTTGATGTGAGGCGACAGCACTACCTATTGCGCCACTGCCTCGCCCTGCATCTGAACTCTTTGTATTATATTAACTCATTCATTCATTTATTAATTTTCTTTTCGGCTAAGTCCCTTTATTAATCTGGGGTCGCCACAGCGGAATGATCCGCCAACTTATCCAGCATATGAAACATCCACACATACTCATTTATTATAGACAATTTAGCCTACCCAATTCACCTGTACCGCATGTCTTTGGACTGTGGGGGAAACCGGAGCACCCGGAGGAAACCCACTCAAATGCAGTGAGAACATGCAAACTCCACACAGAAAGGCTAACTGACCCAGCCGAGGCTCTTGCTTTGGGATGATAGCACTACCTACTGCGCCACCATAATAATAATTCTTTACATTTATATAGCGCTTTTCTGCATGGTCACTCAAAGCGCTCCTCATCCACTACCAGTGTGCAGCATCCACCTGGATGACACGACGGCAGCCATTTTGCGCCAGACTGCACACCACACACCAGCTGATTGGTGGAGAGGAGACTGAGTGATGAAGCCAATAATGATATAGGGAGGGTTAGGAGGCCATGATGGACAGAGGCCAGGAGCCGTGTTTAAACTCCTACTCTATTTCGAAGGACATCCTGGGATTTTTAACGACCACAGAGAGTCAGGACATCAGTTTAAGGTCTCACTCGAAAGACGGCGCTCACTGAGCATTATAGAGTATAGAGTCCCCATCACTATACTGGGCCATTAGGACCCACACAAACCGCAGGTTGAGCGCCCCCTGCTTTCCCATGTGGTCTCCCATCCAGCTACTGACCGGGCGCAGCCCTGCTGAGCTTCAGTGGGCGACCATGTGAGAGTTGCAGAGAGCTAGCTGCTGGTGTGTTTGGACTGTGGGGAAAACCGGAGCATGTAAACTCCACACAGAAATGCCAACTGATCCAGCTGGGACTCGAACCAGTGACCTTCTTGCTGTGGTGACTCCTGATTAATAAAAGGACAAAGCCAAAAAGAAAATGAATGAATGAATGAATGACACTCGGTGGTGTAAAGTAACTAATTACAAATACTCAAATTACTATAATTGAGTAGTTTTTCGCAGAAATTTCTAAGTAGATTAAAAAATGTGTACTTTTACTCTCATTTGAGTATATTTTTAATGCTGTATCAGAACTTTTACTCCACTACTTTCCTTCAAGCTGCAGTCATTACTTAATTTTTTCTTATTTATGAGGATTGGCTGAGTTGTCTTCTGATTCTTGTCCAATCAAATCACACAAAGAAGGTAAATCCCATCATAATGGACTACCTCAAGACATGGGCCATTTATAATTGCAGCAAACTGTTTGGAAGCATTAAAAGGGTCCAAGAAGATGTTCAAAGACTTTACAAGCATTGCATCCGGTTTCCCCCACAGTCCAAAGACATGCGGTACAGGTGAATTGGGTAGGCTAAATTGTCTGTAGTGTATAAGTGTGTGTGTGTGAATGTGTGTGTGGATGTTTCCCAGAGATGGGTTGCGGCTGGAAGGGCATCCACTGCATAAAAACTTGCTGGATAAGTTGGCGGTTCATTCCGCTGTGGCGACCCTGGATTAATAAAGGGACTAAGCTGACAAGAAAATAAATGAATGAATAAAAAACGGGTTGATGTCAGAACTCGACGTCAGGCCAACATTCAACCTAAAATCAACCAAATATCAACATCTAATAATGTTACAGCTTGCCGTTGTGTGGACATAACCGCTATGACATCTATCAGACGTTGGATTTTGCTTGTCATACCTGACGGATAACTGTCAGTATTTGATGTCAATATGACATTGGTTTAAGATGTTGGCCCGAAACTGGTTTTCGGTCACTTTCTTAAAACCTAAAACTGACTAAATATTAATGTCATTATTGAACATCTAAATAACGTCCTTAGATGCTGGCTAGACAATGAATTTTGGTCACCTGACATCACAACCTAAATCTAACCTAATATTAACATCTTAAGACTGAGCAATAACTACATGCACTACAGAATATTACGTTTACACACACATCCACAAATTATATATTAATGCATCAGCCTTTTACAGTGTAATACTCACTACTCATGAGTACTTTTGAAAGGGCTACTTTTTACTCATACTTTGAGTAATATTTACAACAGATACTTTTACTCTACTCGCACTACATTTTTAGGCAAGTAATAGTACTTTTACTTGAGTGTGATTTTTCAGTACTCTTTCCACCGCTGATGACACTACAGTATCAGTCAGTCAGTCTTTATTCATTTCCCGAATTCAATTTGGTTGCAGCATACAAGCATGTCACACACAATACACAAAAGTACATCATACAATACAAATTCTACCCTAAGTTTAAAAACTTTACAGCTGAGGGGATGAATGAAAGTTTAAAACGATGTGTTTTACTAATAGGAGTTCTGTATCGAATACCAGAAGGGAGAAGATAAAACTCGTGGTGCATAGGATGGGAATCATCTGACAGAATACTCTGAGCTTTACTCAAAACTTGTGTCTGGTATAACTGAGTCATGGGCATATGTTTTCTCCCTGTTATTTTTCCTCCTAGGTTCACAATTTTCTCCAAACAACTCTTATTTTATGTTGGTATCAACCATACCAACATACCTTAATCCACCCTTAAACAGTAATCATGTTGTACAATGTTGAATGTAGCTCAAATTTTAATACATTCTTCCCAAACCAAAACCATCAACAACCACCTTTGTGCTTTGACTCACACACACACACACACACACACACACAAAAGAAAAAAATCTGAAAAAAGTCTTCATTCACAGTCTGGCAAAGAAACGTCTTCATCTTTTGATATTGTTTAGGGCTGATGTTCACTGTTAGCCGACCAGGTTGGGCATCTACGGGGGAGCAGACAGTGAGCAGTTTATGTAACAGTGATTACAAGCTCTGGATTTAGTAAACTGCTGCACACACTAATAGTTCTCAGACCATCTGTTTCATCTCTTGCTCGTCTTCCTTAACATGTAGTTTTCTTTAACGTACACTAACTGGCCACTTTATTAGGTACACCTCGTCAGATGCTCGTTATTGTGATATTTATTTAATTATTCATTCATTTTCTTTGTGGCTCAGGAAACCCACGTGAACACGGGGAGAACATGCAAACTCCACACAGAAACGCCAACTGATGCAGTCGCGGCTCGAAACTGTAACCTTTTTGCTGTGAGGCGATTGTGCTACCCACTGTGCCACCGTGCAGCCCACTATTTATAAACATACTAGTTTGAATAACAAATTTCTAATAAATGATTTCTTTTATGATGACAGCACATAATATTATATATATATATATATA